AGGCTTTAACTTGTTCTTTCTTGGGCATTTCACCTTTTTTAGCACTACTGGCCTCTTATTCTTTAGGCTTGCCACTTTTAATGGTATTTTTAATAATTTCTCTTAAGATCACCATATCAGTAAAGTTTTTTATTGCATTCTCTATCATTTTATCATAATAGGGTACCTTTAAAACAAATAAGACCATTGTTTCTTTCTCGATCAAAAGAGGTTGAACTTGAATAGTCATATCCCTCCACTGTTGGGCATATTCTTTAAAAGACTCTGTTACCTTATTCTTCATGCTTTGTAGAGAAATAAGTTCAAAGGCGATATCAATGATGTGATGATATTGGTTGATAACTGCCCGACTAAGCTTATTTCAAGAGCGGATACGAGTTCAATCTAACTGAACATGCCACATTGCAATTGAGCCAATAAGGCTATTTTGGAACACATGTATTAATAGCTTTTTATTATTGGTATAGGCAACTATTTTTTTATAGTACATGTAACATGAGTTATCGAACGAGTACTACCATTATACTTTTTGAACTCTGAAACTTTGAACTTTGGCAGGATTACAACATCAGGACCAAGCAAAATTTGGCTACATCCATGGAGTCTATACCTTCGATGACTCATATTTTTTCTCCTCCAGTAAGTTCATCTTATGTTGAGACTTTGAGTCCTCTAAACTTTCAATTGCTTTTAATTTCAGCTTTTCATTCTTCTTGAAGTCGTCTGAGTTAGGGATTGAAACTTGCTCTACTACTTTTTCAATGAAGATAGGATTAGCAAAACTTTAAAATAGCCTTTGAGTTGGTGTAGATAGCATTCTTATATAAGTATACCCTGTAGGGAATGTAAATTATTATGATAAAGTATCTTAAGTGGACTATGCTTGAAGTGGGCCATGACTAGGAAGATATAGAAGGTTAGCAACATCTTACAAATTATGGTCTTTAGGTCTAACCTTTTTCTTTTGTTCAGGTTACTTAGTTCTTTTAAAATTTGCCCAACTTTTTTTTGAGCTCTTCTTAGGCCTTTTCCAACTTCTTAATGTGATTTGCATTGTCTTGCTCCATTCTTTTGGCTTGGATTCAAGTGTTGTACTTGTGGTGAATTGGTCAAGCTATCCTTAAACCTTGATTTACCGTAATTAGGGTGCATGTTTAGAATGATGTTTATAGAATTATCTAATTATGCATGAAGTTGAATGCAAAAATGCATGAATGTAATAAAGAGGATTTAAATATATAAATGCTTGCATATACAATAAAAGAAAAAGGTTAAAAAACATTATATATACAAAAAGTAATAGAAAAATAACGTAAAAGGTTGTATACAAATAATATATACAAAAATATATATATAAATTGACAAGCAGAATAAAGTCCCATCATGTGTCTTATTTAAGATTTTTTAACACAAGGGAAGGTATAGCTTTAACTTAGGTTCAGGCCCTTAGGGTTTATTTACATGCTAGGTTCAAAGATTTGATAGTCTAAGGGTTCTCAAATTCTTTCTTACATCATTGTCTATTATAAACTAATAAGGCACCATAATCCTCTCCTATTATAGGCTACAAGCGAACAGGGTTCAATTTCAGTGAGAATTTTTCACTAACTCATACAAAGACATGAAATTCATGAAAACGTAGTTACTTTACTCTGTCATAAAGAATAAAACTCGGGTATAGAGATCATGTTATGCATATACAAATGAATGATAGATATATATAATAAATAAATAAAATACAAATAAGAAAAAATTTTTAAATTTTTTAGGTTAGGCTTGTATAACAAGCAATCATTTACTGGCCTAACTCTCTAGGTCCGTAGCGGAGTCACTAAATTATCAAAATGTATAGATCCTTATACTACCATTAGACATATATAAAGAAGTCACTACCAATTTTTTTGTTAAGGTATGATTGGTCACTTGACAAAATCTATCCAATTTAAAAAGGAGTCCCAAGATTAACTTAGATACTTTAAATAGTAGATTCTAGTTCACAAAACTAAAATTTAGGTTTAGGAGTACAGTTATGTATAAAGAATATTATAGCACCCATATAGAATATAGTACTAGTATGATTTCAAGTTTTTCAAGCTTTAAAATGTATTTGAAATTTACCAAATAATTTAATATTAGAAAATTTTCTTAAATTACTCCAATATATTGCTAATAATTTAAGAATATTTTCTCACATTAAGAGTATTCAATAAAACTATTTGTCACTCTTTGAAGACACTCCGTCATTAGATTAACTTAATTTTGCTTCCAAAAATAAATACCTATAAACCGAGTTTATAGTCAAAAATATCCTTTAATCTATTTGTATGATTTTATGTAAAAAGACAAAAAATATTATTTTCTTCTTTTAATTTTTTTAAACTTGATTTTTTAGGAAATTATAAGGCTTTCCAATATGTTGACAAAACCTTATTTTGGAAATAAAATATTTGCCTTCCAATCTGTTGGTAAGACTTTTTTTTTTTTTTTGAAATTAAGAAAATGTTATAAGTTTTTCAATACGTTGGTAAAATTCTATTTTTAAAAAAATGATTGCCTTTCAATCTGTTGATAAGACTTTTATTTAAATATGTTTTTATAAAAATATATTAAAAAATAATAGATAATTAAATAAATAAATAATTAATTAATTAAATAAAAATAAAAAAATTAAAGTCGGCTCGACTAAGCAGCTAGACTGCACAACTTACAAGAATAAATCCTCACAATTTCAAATTCTAGAAAGAATTCAAAAAAAAAAAAATCTACTACCAAAAATCGTATCTTTTTTCTAAATGATTTTTCTCTCTATTTTTTTCGTAAGAGTTTTCATATAATCTTTTTCTTTATCCCCTTTATTTATTTGCTTTAAAGCAATTTATAAGGATTTTCTAGTCAAGAATTTTAGGGTTCCATTGATTGTCAAAGATTTTCAAAAAATTTTTAAATCCCTTTAATTTAGGTAAAATCAATTTAACAAAAACTCTAGTTTTGATACTCTATGATCTTTTTTTATTTGATTTCCTATTTCATGCATGTTAAAAAAAAATCTCAAAAATTCTTCTTTGCTCAATTCTTGTATAGGATTTTCAAAAAATTCTATTTGATTTTCTTTCTTTCCTTTTTCATTTATTTAGTTTTTATTACAAAATAAATAAATAAATAAATAAAAATAAAATATTTGTTGGGACAAAACCCATATCAAAATAATATATATTGGACTCAAAACCAGACAATCTTAACAAAATCGAAATTAAGAATTAGAATATACACTTTGGATAAAATGAAATATTTACAGTTCCCATCCTTATATTGGCTATTGCATTCTACTAATTTGTATATGTCTTTTTCAGCCTGAACATTAATGGATGGGAAATGATTATATAACTCGGTTTTTTGGCTACTGCAAGGTATTATCAGCTTAGGGCTTGAACAAGACCATGGATTTTGTATTTTGTTTACTGTAAGTTAAATATTGTTTCTTCTCTTTTTGAAAAATTTCGAGGGTTAGGGTGTCAAATGAGCTTGGAAGAGGAAGCTCCAAAGCTGCCAAGTTTTCAATTGTGATGACAACACTTACATCACTTTCCATTGGATTCGTGCTATTTTGTGCTATTCTTGTGCCTTAGAGGACGATTAGCATACATATTCACCGAAAGCGAACAGGTGGCTAACGTAGTTGCAAATTTATCTCCACTATTGGCTTGCCCTATACTTCTAAACAGTGTTCAACCTGTGTTCTCTGGTAAATTTCCGTTTGTTGGTTTTGTCCTTCTGCCTCCGGCATTTTCGATCATGTTTTCCATTAACATTTTGTACTTTAATGACAGCAGATTACATCTAATCCAATATATTCATACATTAAGATCAGGAAATTTATTTTACGCTTAGGAAAAATGTGTTACATGATTTACATTTTTCAACAAAAGCTGCTATTGATATAGGATGGCAGAGCATCGTATTTATATATTTAATTACAGCACTCCCCGTGAAGCGAGAATTATACACTAATACATAATTAAAGTAATTTTAAATATGATAAAAAAATGTTGATAACCTCATTGCTTAAATGCTTATTAACGTCATGATGATGACCTAATTATTGATAACCTAGGGGACAACCAAAGAGAATGTAAATCATATGACTTTTTGACAACCAAAGGGGTATATAAATCAAAGCACTTTTTGACAACCAAAGAGTATATAAATCAAAGAACTTATTTTTTGTAATATTTTTCAAATGCATAATAATGTTTTAAAACGTGAAATCTTTATCTTATCTTATATTCATTTAAAACAAATTAAAGATGATATATAAAACAAAATAAATTCTCAATAACTAGTGCTTAGCCGTATCACACCAAAAAAATAAAACAAACCAAATAATAAATAAAGCAACAACTTGCAGAATGATGATTTAATATATTTTTAAAGATATTATTTTTATATAAATAAAATTGTAATTTAAAATATAAAATATATTTATAAATTTTAATATTAGAATTTAAAATTTGTTAAGCTTCAAATTCCAAATGATCACTTTAAAATACATAAATTTATTTTTAAAGACATAAATCATTCTTTAAGAAACCATATTAATACTTTTTCGTTTCATTTTATTTATTTATAATTTTTAAATGTTTTAAAAATATATTTTTAGCATTTAATATTTTATTGTTTATATTTTTTAATTATTTTTATAATAATAATAATAAAGAACCAAATTAAAAAAATAAGATAAAATATACTGAAATTAATATTTTTAAAACTCCATATAAATGACATAAATATAATAAATTTAAAAGGAAGTAATATATAGATTAAATTAGTAAGAAAAAGATTAAATATTAAATGCGCATTTTAAGGGATATGTCAAAAAAAAAAAAATCAATCTGCATCATCGAAAACAACTACCGAAAGTCGTGGGCCCAGCAACTGCAGCGTTTGGACGCTTAATCAACCAAAACTCTTCAAGCACTCCTCTTTTTTCTTTCCTTACATCCATATTCTCCCACGTGACTAATTCGCCTTCCTTATCACCACGTGCTTTAATTATCTCTCTCTCTCTCCTGTCTTTTTCAGTTTTCTTCGTCCTCTCCTCAGCCTCTTTTAAGAACCCTTTCTCCCTATTTTTCTTTCTCAATTTCTTTTCGTTTCTTGCTCTCCAAACATGAATTCTCTGAAACAATATGTTTTATTCTTAATCTTGATACCCTTTTTTTCTAATAATTTTCTTGTTTTTGTTAACTCTATAACTTCTTCGTCTCCGTCGGACAATGAATACGCCACTTTTTTCGACGCTGCAACTTCCATCAATCCAAAGGCTTCTTTAAACTCCTGTAAGAACCAAACGGTTTCGTCCGCTTCACGTGGTCCTTTCAGCTGCGAGGTGCGGTACAAGAACTGCTCCGAGGCGATGTTGAGCCTGGCCCGGAAGCCCGAGAACGTAGAGTGGATTAAAGGGTTGAGGAGGAAGATACACGAGAACCCTGAGCTTGCTTTTGAAGAGTATGAAACGAGTAAACTGGTTCGAGCCGAGTTGGATCGGATGGAGATTGAATACAGGTACCCTTTGGCGAAAACGGGTATTCGGGCTTGGATTGGAACCGGTGGCCCGCCCTTTGTTGCCATCCGAGCTGACATGGATGCTCTTCCTATACAGGTATACTGTTCTTTTATGACTCTGGGTTTTTTTTTTTCTTTTTTCTGTTTAAACATGTATTGGTATACATATATTTATAATTATATACGTGTGTATAATATAAATATTTATGTATATACTTTTTTACTATATATGGACATCCTTTATATGTACAACATGTTAAGGTACTTGGTACTTGGTACTTTTGTAGGTGAGAAGAAAATGGGGTAGGTGGTTCATGAACATTGGATTTAATTTGTTGACACAATGTTTTGGAGTTCTGAAGTTCGGAAATAGGGTTTGGTTTTGTGTCGTAGAAGTTGGAATCAACTACTTTCCCAAGGGAATTTAAAGGAGTGGAAATAAACATGAAATATTTCGGATTCAAGATAAGAGTGCTAAGTTTTTATTGAGAAAAAAATTGAAAATATCTTTTTTTGTTGCTGATTTGGAGACTTTGTGTCAGACAGATGAATTTATTATCTAAGTTTAGTACATTCTATTTTGTTTATGTTATGGTCCAGAAAATGACAAAAAAATATATTTTTAGTTAAGTGTGACGAATCATAAAATGTTTAATTTTCGAGATTAAAATTATTTAAAAATAATGACAATGTATTTTAAAATAAATTCTAGACTATACTTTTGGAATTTTCGATCTCCGGGGTCATCATTAAATTAAATTTCTACCATATCTTAGTAAAAGTTACTTTACTTTTCGAGGTTGCATAGAATTTTATGGCATGGTTGATTTTTCACTTATGGTGGGGTAATTTATTTTAGGAAGCTGTAGAATGGGAGCACAAAAGCAAAGTTCCGGGAAAAATGCATGCTTGTGGGCACGACGCACATGTGGCGATGCTCGTTGGTGCAGCCAAAATATTGAAGAACCGAGAACACCTTTTGAAGGTTTGCTTTTTTTTAACTCTACAACTCTAAAATTACCCCCTAGCTAGTCTCATCTGCCTATTACTTCATGTCATTTAATCCACCCTTGTGCAATGGATGCATTGTAAATCTTGTTGGTTTTGGTCTTGTTTTGGTGCAATTCAATGCATTGTGGGGACAACATTGCTTCACAGAAAGTGAAAGATTGGCTTTCCTGGCTAACTCTCCTCCCATGGGCCTATATATATATATATATATATATAGCTATAAATGACCCGTGATAGTTTTCTGTTTTTCTGCATTTAGAATGAATTTTGACACACCTTCGTCATCTACTTCTGCTCTAGTTTAGTCATGTCTTGCTCATTGTCATTTTACCGATTCACATATTTGCTCATTTGCCCTCTCCTTTTGCTGATTGTCCTTCAGTGCCATGAGAGTTCAATCTGACTTATATGTGCTTCAACATTTTATTCTACCGATTGAAAAACCAAGCATATGATTTTTCACATCCACACAGAAAAGGAAAGTTAACCCTTTGCTCATCACATGTCTAGTTCCCTATTCCCCTCTATATATAGCCAGATTTCTTCACTTCCATATAAAAGTGAACTGTCTTCTTGCTAAATAAAATTAGATATGTTGAGGTTGTCATTTATTGGGTCTGGTTTGATGTATGTGGACAACTAAGGATTTGTGTTGGATTTCAAAAAAAAAAAAAAAATTTGCTCTTTCTATGTTTTAATAATCTATCCCTCTATTTCCTCCCAAAATTTCATTACTAAAATAAATTGAAGATAGATCTTGGATGGTTTAATATTGCCCGGGACTGTTCTAGCCACAAAGCAATTTTTTTTCTTCTTTTTGTAGGTAAGCCAGTGACCCTTTTAGTATCATCATTTTGGAACACTAGGCGACTAGGAGAATGGGTTGTTCTTCTAGTCTCATCTTTCCATCTCTAAAATATGAACCTCTAGAGGTTAAGAGAAGGGCAATGTTGTTCCCCCATAAGGCAAAAATGATGAATTGCTAAAATAGTTGTTGCTTAATTAGTATAATGATTAATCTCTGTTCCCAGACGTAATTAGACATATAATTGTAATTATCACTTTTAAAGTCTAGTAAACTATAATTGCATGAGTATATGACCTTAGGAAATATTGTAAATTATATTAGGTTATCTTATTGAGAAAAATCGTGGATTAAAACTTGTCACCGTATAAAGGGTGAAAGTGCGTATTATAATTGGACCCTTCATGTTTTCGTTGGACTCCCAAATGGAGACTCTTTTGCTTTAAAAAATGAAAAGCATTTAAGTTTTTATTGATTTTTATTGAAAGGCTAGGTTACTTTTTCATCTTGCTTTATTTATTGGAAGAATCTTCAAAAACAGAAAGTTTTGTTGAAGAGGAATAATTTATCCTTCAAGTTTTGTTGTATAATAAAAGGAATTCCCTCCAACTATGGTTAACTTCTTGAAAAAGTTAATATACAGAAAGGAAACTCGTGGTTATGATATAGACCAAAATTAAACAAAAGTTGGTTGGAGTTCAATTTTTTTTAAGAGTCTCTAGACGGTGAAATAAACCTAATTAATTTGATTGCTTGATATTGTTGAGGCTTTGTCCTCATTTATCAAAGATAATTATTTCTGAAACAAACAAAAAGATTTTGAAGGACTGCCCAGTTCATATTGCCCATTTGTATGATCTAGCAAATTATCTATTACCCTGACGAATTAAATCCTTTGGTTAAATCTTTTGGCTGTCTCAGGGAACTGTTATACTGATCTTTCAGCCAGCTGAGGAAGCTGGAAATGGTGCTAAGCGGATGATTGCAGATGGGGCCTTAGAAAACGTAGAGGCCATTTTTGCAGTCCATGTCTCTCATGAACACCCCACGGCTATTATTGGTTCAAGGCCTGGTCCTCTGCTTGCCGGGTGCGGCGTCTTTAGAGCTGTTATCAGTGGAAGAAAGGGCCTTGCTGGGAACCCTCACCACTCAGTTGACCCTATTCTGGCAGCTTCAGCTGCTGTAATTAGCTTACAGGGAATTGTTTCTCGCGAATCAAATCCATTGGACTCCCAGGTTCGTCTTTGTTTTTTGTAAATTATCATCCTTTTATCTTTCAACATTGTAAATTTCCAACTCCTGTGAGTTTTAATCTTGTAATGCAGGTTGTGTCTGTCACCTCATTCAATGGAGGCAATAGCCTTGACATGATCCCTGACGCGGTGATAATTGGAGGTACCTTCAGGGCTTTCTCCAATGCCAGCTTCTACAACCTTCTTCAAAGAATCGAAGAGGTTGGTCATGATTATACTTGATTCTGATCACAATTCAAGCCAGGTTTTCCCCTTCTAACATACCTGACATGGAATACAGGTGGTCGTGGAACAGGCCAGTGTTTTCAGATGCTCAGCAACAGTAGACTTCTTTGAAAGGGAGTCAACAATCTACCCGCCAACCGTGAATGATGACCGTATGTATAAGCATGTAAAGAAGGTGGCTACTGATTTGCTTGGACCACCAAATTTCAGGGTGGTACCCCCGATGATGGGTGCCGAGGACTTCTCCTTTTATTCAGAGGTAGTTCCGGCAGCTTTCTACTACATTGGCGTCAGGAACGAGACCTTGGGGTCTATACACACAGGTCACTCGCCATATTTTATGATCGACGAAGATATTCTTCCCATAGGTGCTGCAGTTCATGCCACTATTGCAGAAAGATACCTCGTTGAGCATGGTTAAAGTGAAGAGATCCCCCTCTTATAAACTGGGATATTGTAACTCAACTGAGCACAAGATTATTCAGAGAATTTGCAATCTGATGTGCTCTTGTAATTTTGGTCTAGTTAGGGTGCATGGAAAGGGCAGGATTTTCCACTTTGTCAATGTAAAGAACTGAGCAGAGGATACTTTGCTCTTAGAAAAGGATGTAGTTGTAACAACATTAAACGTTTCAAGTAATGGTACCATGCATTCAACTTTTATGCTGAGAGCATTAAGTTGCATTAACCAGGCCCAACACACCAACTTTTGAATGACCGCAGCTGAACATCGTTTCACAACCATGAAAATCTTAATATAAATTTTCCTCTTCTTTCTTTTTCTTTTTGTCGAAAATATTTTAAGGTGAGGAGAAATTTTTCTATTTAAAGATCAAGATAGATCATAGGTCTCAAAAAACTTCCATTAGATCAATAAATCGTCTATCAAAAAGAAAGGAAGGCCACAGAACTCGATCCTAAGTTTTATAAACAAAATATCCGAATCTTACCAACTCAACCCTGTTGGCTAATATGCATTTTCTTTAACATGGCTTCAGATACCTAAGTTGAACACCATGTCTGAAAACAAGGATGTATTTTCCTAAACATACAAGACAATCTCTCCGTACATTTTCAGAAGGTATAATTCTTGATAGCATCTCAGCAGACAAGATTCGTAGCAAAATATTCCACAGATATGGCGGCTTCTCACAATTTTATTGTACGTCATTACCAACAAGTACCCATTCCCAATTGTATTATTTTTCTTCAAATCTCCAACAGAATTATTTCTATCCTGTTCATCTCTTTCTCTCTCTTACCTCTCATCAGATCCTTGCAGCTTTCTCATTGTTTTCACAACCATTAAGATATACAATAGGTGATTTTATCGGTATGATCTATAAATTTATTATTTATGCATTCATTTATTTACATAACCTATATTTTGGATTAACATTCTCGGTATCTACACCACACAAACACACCTCCATTTCAATCAAGTTAGCTTCTAGAATTACATTCTTCTTTCGGATAAGCATCTAGAATTACATTCACAAGAACAGAACATGGATTCTTATCATTAGAAATTTCACTTTAATTTAGACTTGACAAACATAGATGGTATTTTATTTTTAGCATGTAACTTACTTGAGGTTTATGAGGAACACGGACTACAAACTGCTAAGTCAAGCATGCTATAACAAGTCCCGCTTATTCTAACATCTAGCACTCTTAAATAGAAGATTTAGTACCTCAAGCTTTTGTGCACAATCAACCAAAGCCTCAAAAAACAAAAGACCAATATCACCTTTTCTCACCACATAAACATCTAGCAGCTTGTAAAGCAAAATATGTAAGGATGATGTCAGCACCAGCCCGGCGGATGCATATCAAGGATTCCATCATAACCCTTTCTTCATCAATCATTTTGAGAACTCCACCAGCCTTGATCATCGAGTATTCACCAGAAACCTGGACAACATGAAAATAAAAATAACAAATCAATTTTTGATAGGCAGGAAAGTGAAAATATGCATTTTAGAAGAAAAAGGAAGTACATACAATTTCAGAACAAAATGTGTTTGATTAAGTCAGGTAAAAATGTCATTCCTTTGATGCATTAGACAAATTTAACATTTAGAAGGGAAAATAAGAATGTCAAGAAAATGATCATGGAAGGTAAGAGCTTGCCACCTTTTCTTTTTTCTTTGCTTCTCATTTTCCTCATAGCTAAGTTTTGAAATGCAAATCATGAGTTCCATCCCATAGGCACACATGTAGATAAGTGTGTGTATAATTAGAAACAGTCTTTAAGGACATCCACCACAATCCACACCTTATTGAAGCAAATTATGGAATAGTTAATTGATCATTAAGACATAATCTTGAGTATCTTATACAAGAATGGTTGGCTTCATGAAATATGCAAAAATAACCTCTTTTTATGGGTTTTTCCCCCTTTTCAAAGCTTGCCACCTTTTCTTTCCCTTTCCTTCTCATTTTCCAAATAGCTAAGTTTTGAAATGCAAATCATGAGTCCCATCCCATAGGCACACATGTAGACATGTGTGTATAATTAGAAACAGTCTTAAAGGACATCCACCACAACCTACACCTTATTGAGGCAAATTATGGAACAGTTACTTGTTAATTAAGACATAATCTTGAGTATCTTAAGCAAGAATGGTTGGCTTCATGAAATATGCAAAAATAACCCCTTTCTATGGTTTTTCCCCCTTTTCTACTATTCTCATGCCATCCTATCGTTCTTCATCCTTCATCCTTCATCCTATGAAGTATGAACTATACACATTCCCTATAACTATGAATTAGGCACTGTAGTTAAAAATCCATTCCTCTAATCTTGTTAAAATAAAAAAAGAAAAGAAAATTATGGAAATAATTTCATTATCGCAAAAATTTTTGTTATGGGCTTTGGTTGTAACAATTCAGCAAGCCAAGGACCTAGAGCAAGAACTGATGAAAGCATTATTGGCTCTTTGGCTATATGAACATTTACTCAAATTTTCACTTTAGCGATTATGGAGAAATCAGATAAAAGAAAAAGTTCAAACTCACAAATGAAAACAATGATAAGAATGTTCAGGACGCTGTGAAAAGTTAAAGAGAATACCTGGTATGCAGCAATAGGCAAAGGAGATTGATCCCTGAGAAGTCTTATGATATCCAAATAAGGAAGACCAGGTTTCACCTGCGATCCAATAGAAAGACTTCAATATGAAGGGAGCTTTGCATTAATCACAAGGGATTAAAGTTCCTGAAGGAAGACATACTAACCAATAGAATATCAGCTCCTTCAGCCTCATCTTCATGACCCTCAACTAAAGCCTCTCTATAATTTGCTGGGTTCATCTGATACCTGTTGTTTAACAACCAAGATTAACAATCAAACGTGAGTACCAAAAAATTCCCATGAAAACACATAAAATAACATACAAGCAAGTGAATTCATACGTGTTTTTATCTCCAAATCGTGGATTGGAGTCCAGTGCTTCTCGAAAAGGACCATAAAATGAACTCGCATATCTGTTATGCCAGAAAAAAAGAGTCAGAATAGTGACAGCACGTTTCACCCAGGTGACCAAGAATAACAGAGAATAATTTCTGCCAAGATATTCCATTCGTTCAAAATGTTTGAAGGCCACAGAATAAGACAACCCATAATGTCTTACACAATCAGGTAATAGCATTGAAAGGAATATTGTCTCTGGGCATCCCAACAGAGTGATATCACTCTATTTGCCCTCAAAGCATTTGTTTTTTGTTTTGGTTGGTGGGGGGAGGGGGGTGGAGAGACAAAAGATAGTAAAACTTCTGCAATGTTTTAACACAACCATTGGTCTGTTACCATGCTTCAATGAAACCTACTTCTAGAAAACAAACAGACATCTATGGTGCAAGAGCAAAGATACAAAGCCAAATTACTTCGCAGTATAGGACATAATAGAAACATGGTGAAAGCCTTCAGCATCAAGGGCAGCACGAATAGCTCCAACACGCCCATCCATCATATCACTGGGACTCACAACATCAGCTCCAGCTCGGGCCTTTTAAAAGGACACCACCAAAAGAATCAAAACATAGCCAACCAAGTCAAAGATAGCAGAAAAGAATTGAACATAAAATAAGCATAAGAGACCTCCAACATCCACGCAAGTGATTAGCAAACTCCCAATTATTTCACTGACTAGCCATTTAAAGCAGTAATAGCAAAATTTTGCTTGCTTTAAGCATTTGAAACACTATTTACTCAAGCATATAGTATTAATAAAAAGTTAAGCCATGGATATGTATTAAGACCCATGGGAGGAGGGGGAGAACAGAAAATCACAAAGTCAGAACAAGATCACCAAAACTTTTGCATGAGACATCAATGGCTACAACAAATGTACCAAAAGGGCAAAAAGTAATCACATGCCATTACTGCATTTAGAACTCTAATAAAGCATTAGATTTCTGCCTAAGTGTGCAAGTTCTAACAGCAAAATATCTACAAAATTTACCTGGGACACAGCTTGCTTACATAATTGATGCACCGTCTCATCATTCATTATGACTCCTACAAGGTAAAAAAAACAGACATAGAAATTAGTACTTTTATGCATATATCTATATAGAAATTAGTAACTTTACCTGAACACAATTTATTTTGATCAAATAGGAAATTGCTCAACTACCAAAACTTGATGCTTAAACAGCATTTTTTGGTAAAGAAAACAAGTATCATTCTAAGTTAACTTATATGGCAACATAGCAAACCAAAAAACAGCTCAGTAAGATGAATGCATGTCTTCTGGGCTGTGCTTATATCTTCGACTGAATCCTTTACTAATTAATTAGGCTTTTGGCATCCATCTGTGAATAACATGTTTTTAAATAAGATACTCCATTTCCAGCAACCAAAAGTGTATGAAACATATCTGTCTTACCATCTTCTCTGACAATACCATCATGCCCATCTGACGAATATGGATCCAAAGCAACATCCGTATAGATAACCTAACAAACCAATAAGTTATCACCATGTTTCAACACATAAAGCGCCTTAATCTGCCTTTACCACCATCACTCTAAATGATATACAAATCAGAAGATGAACTACATTGACTTACAAGGTCAGGATATTTATCCTTAAGCAGCCGTATTGTTCGAGGCACTAAACCATTGTCATTATAGGCTTCATCACCTGTGGGAGACTAATGTGCAAAAAACCAATTCACTACATCAACATATTAAACAAATAGGATTATAGTGGGGGAATCAAAACCTTCAGAGCATCTGGAACTTTGGGGAAGAGCACAATACTATTAACACCAACATCCCGGGCCTTTGCTACCTGCATCAGATAATGCACACTTCAAAACAACCTCACAATTTACTCATAAAATAAGTATCTAAAATGCTCGTATATGTTTACAACTTCTCAAACAATCACTAGAACATTTATTGTCATATAGCTATGTGAAATACATAAGTCAATAAAACAAGATAATATAGTACTTGAACACCAATACTGAGGGACAAATACAAAATGTTTCGTGAAAAAGGACACATAATCAGAAAGAGCTTAACAACCTCTTCAACAAGTCCATGTCTCCATCCAAGCCTATAACATCCTGGCATAGCTCCAATGGGTGTGTCCTCCAGACCTGAAGGTTTAGGGAACTGTATCATATTAAATCCAAGCGTATACCAGAAGGTAGAAAGAAAGAAAGTATCACAAAAGTCACAGAAAAGAAAACTGCAACAATATAATATTCATGTTATGATTTGAGGGTGCTTATCATGGTCTTTGATATAATTTCTTTGAATATTTAACTTATTAACTCCATATTTTCACCAAAACCAAAAACAGACTAATATCCATAGAATACCAACCTTCATGAATAAAAAGAGGATATACAAAATTTGCAGGAGATATACTTGTTTCCTGGAAGGATGATCTCAATGCAGGGGACTTGCGGTTACGACGAGGGCGTCTGCTAAGTTGCTAATATAAACAAACACCAAATGAGCAAAGAAGAAAGGAGAGTGCACCAATTGGCCTAAAAACCACAATTATAACTTTAATTATTTCATTTCATTGTCATGAATTAAAGAGAAGTGGAGAACAAACGATTACTGATTAAATCTCATCCATGTCATGAGACAAGAAAACCAAATAATTGTTGATGGCATTCCAAAACTCCTCCGACACAATCAAATTATATACATGACCATATCACATTACCCCTATTTGCATATGAATATAACTAATCAAACACTATACAATAGCGAGAAGATAAATTGCAGTATCATTTCATTTTCAAACACTCACAAGAGGTTGAATCACGGGAGTCCCAACAGGAGCAGCTGGCTTAGGGGGCACTGGAGGAGCTTCAGGCACACTCCCAGCCACAACAGCAGCCTCACATTCTTCAATACTCTTTTCAATCTTTTTCACATGTGCATCATGACTTTCGCTAGCCCTCACCACAAAAAGGCGCTGAGAAAGTCCAGAGATTGAAATTCTACCAGAACTGAATTTTAAACTCGAGATTGGTCTAATACCAACATAGTTTTGACTATCAGGACCTTTAACTGAAGGAACCGTACATCGAGCATTTATAATAGTAGAAGCCATAACATTAAATTCACACGATCTCTGCAATCGTAAAGATGAAATTCTAATCAAAATAACAGCACAAATCAGGTAAAAGACTTACAAAAAAATTGTAATCAGCTGCAGATAAAAGTTGCCAAATTAAAAACAAGAAATGGGTACACAAAAAACACAATCTTTATCTAATCAACTAAAAATGTAACTTTTCAGTCAGACCTTGTTTGGTTGCTAAGAAAATGAAGGAAACAGAAAGAAGAAACTGAACTTTGAATGACCCTTTTTTTCCATATATATATATTTATATATATATATATATATATATTTCTTCAAAGTTACTTGAGAAACAGAAATGAGTTTTTACCGAGAGCAAAACAAAAAAAAAACAAAATAAGAAAAAGAAGAAAATGGGGCATGAAATCTTCCCTTATCTGATGGGAATACAGAGAGGGCCAATGAGAAACAAGAAAGGAAAATGAAAGAGAAAGAGTTTATACTGTGATTGTGAGCGCAGACAGAGGATCCCACACCGTTGCCTTTGACACTCTCTGACTGCTGACAAAGACAAAGGCCACCAACCACTCTCTTCAATATAAAATTTTGTCAACTCGCTTTCTTGGCCTCCACGACCTGTGCATATATAGAAAGAAATCTCCCATGAAATGACTAAACTATCCTTTCTATTTAATAAGAATTTAACATGTTTACGAAAATTTGTTTTTATAATTATTTATTATAATACTTCATACCATAATTATAAAAATACACCTTCTCTTAAATTAATTATTATACTCTTATATCTAATTATAAAAATACATTATGTCTTATAATTATTTATTATAATACATGTATATCATATTTATGAAAAAATTTATTCTCTTAGACTCCTTTGTTTTGCAAAAAATGATTTTCAAAAAATGATTTTTGAAAAATGTTTATATTTTTTAAATTAAAAAATATTTATATTGTTTAGATGACTTAATAAAAAATATTTTTCATTTGTTTGTTTTCTAAAAAAATTTTTCAAATAATATTAATATAACTATTAAAATATTAAATTTTATATATGATTAAAATATATTAAAATTATTAATATTAAAAAATAATTATATTTTAATAATATATAATATTAAAATATTATGTTAATATAAAAAATACTTAAAATAAAATTGTTTATTTTCTTTATAATATTAATTAATATATTATAATATTATTTATTAATAACATTTATTAATATATTATATTAATAGTATATTATTTATAATATATTATTATAATATTATTAATTAAGTTAATAATATTTATTATTATATTATCTATTAATATAATATTATTTATTAATATATTATATTAATAGTATATGATTTATTAATATATTATAAAATTATATATTAATATATGATTTATTAATAAAATATTATTTATTTATATAATATTAATATATTAGTATAATATTTATTAATAATATTATTTATTATTATATTATATTAATAGTATATTATTTGTTTATATAATATTATTTATTAATATATTATAACATAATATTATTTATTAATATAATATTATTTATAAGTAAAATTATACTCAAAAGTATTGATAAATAATTTTACACATGGATAGTACTTTTTCAAAAAATATCTTTCTCTTTTCTAATTCGTAAGAGAATGTCAATAAAAAGTGCATTATTTTTTATTAACCAGTAAGTCATTTTTCATTAACCAACTAATTTTTTGTTAAATAAATACATGAAAATGCAAAAATCATTTTTCAAAAGTCATTTTCTGTGAACCAAATGAAGCGTTATTATTAATTAAAATTATTATAATAAATTATGAAAATACCTTTCTCACATACTTAATAAAATTACTATAATACTCATTCTACCATAATTACAAAAATATTTTTATAAATGTTTAATAAGAAGTTGACACACATTTTAAAATCAATAACATATATTAAGACAATCTCGTTGATAATTACTATAATAACCTCTTATTTAATTGATATGATGTTGAAATGTATCCAAATTTATTACAATATCTTTCTATTATACTTTTATGAGTACTTTATAACATGTGATATTAAATAAATAATACCGCTATTAAATTACTTATTAAATATTAAGTAACATATATTAAAATAATTCCCATAAAAATTATTATAATGCCCTTTATTTATTTGATATGATTTTAACATATATCCAAATTTAGTTTAATGGCTTTCTACCATAAACACGAAATTACTATTTTTTATAATTAATCAAAATTATTATAATAACATCGCACTATAATTACAAAAATATCTTTTTTATTATATTTGGTCAAAATTATTATAATATCCTTATGCTATACAAGAGAATGCACTTCATACTATAATGTTAATTATTATAATATTTCTTATATCATAATTACATAAATATCTTTGTAAATGTTTTATAAGAAGTTGATCTATGATATTTATTTCAAAATTACTATAATACATTTATTAAATTACATATTAATTTTAACATATATATAATTAATAATGAATTAAATTACTAAAATATCCTTGTCATTGCTTTAAAGAATTTGACAAGTAGCATTTTATTAAAAATAATCAAAACTAAATAATCAAGTAAGCAAATAATTATAATTTCTATTAAAATAAAAAAATTAAATAATTTATCTTTAAAATAACGATTAATAGCACTAATAATTTATATGCTTTGACCCAAATTTTACTTCGATCTCTAAATTTTAAAAAATTTTAATTGAATCTGTAATTGTTTAAAATTATTTTATTTTAGTCATTCCGTCTATAAAATTGTCTAAATTTATGGCAAATGTCAACAGACACCGTATGATAACATTAGTTAATATCTTATATGGTAAATAAGATGTCAAAATAGAATTCTCTCAAAGTTTAAAAACTAAAGACAAAATTATCTCAAAATTTTATATATTTTGCACATATCTTATAATACTTCATACCATAATTATAAAAATACACCTTCTCTTAAATTAATTATTATACTCTTATATCTAATTATAAAAATACATTATGTCTTATAATTATTTATTATAATACATGTATATCATATTTATTGAAAACATTTATTCTCTTAGACTCCTTTGTTTTGCAAAAAATGATTTTCAAAAAATGATTTTTGAAAAATGTTTATATTTTTTAAATTAAAAATATTTATATTGTTTAGATGACTTAATAAAAATATTTTTCATTTGTTTGTTTTCTAAAAAATTTTTCAAATAATATTAATATAACTATTAAAATATTAAATTTTATATATGATTAAAATATATTAAAATTATTAATATTAAAAAATAATTATATTTTAATAATATATAATATTAAAATATTATGTTAATATAAAAAATACTTAAAATAAAATTGTTTATTTTCTTTATAATATTAATTAATATATTATAATATTATTTATTAATAACATTTATTAATATATTATATTAATAGTATATTATTTATAATATATTATTATAATATTATTAATTAAGTTAATAATATTTATTATTATATTATCTATTAATATAATATTATTTATTAATATATTATATTAATAGTATATGATTTATTAATATATTATAAAATTATATATTAATATATGATTTATTAATAAAATATTATTTATTTATATAATATTAATATATTAGTATAATATTTATTAATAATATTATTTATTATTATATTATATTAATAGTATATTATTTGTTTATATAATATTATTTATTAATATATTATAACATAATATTATTTATTAATATAATATTATTTATAAGTAAAATTATACTCAAAAGTATTGATAAATAATTTTACACATGGATAGTACTTTTTCAAAAAATATCTTTCTCTTTTCTAATTCGTAAGAGAATGTCAATAAAAAGTGCATTATTTTTTATTAACCAGTAAGTCATTTTTCATTAACCAACTAATTTTTTGTTAAATAAATACATGAAAATGCAAAAATCATTTTTCAAAAGTCATTTTCTGTGAACCAAATGAAGCGTTATTATTAATTAAAATTACTATAATAAATTATGAAAATACCTTTCTCACATACTTAATAAAATTACTATAATACTCATTCTACCATAATTACAAAAATATTTTTATAAATGTTTAATAAGAAGTTGACACACATTTTAAAATCAATAACATATATTAAGACAATCTCGTTGATAATTACTATAATAACCTCTTATTTAATTGATATGATGTTGAAATGTATCCAAATTTATTATAATATCTTTCTATTATACTTTTATGAGTACTTTATAACATGTGATATTAAATAAATAATACCGCTATTAAATTACTTATTAAATATTAAGTAACATATATTAAAATAATTCCCATAAAAATTATTATAATGCCCTTTATTTATTTGATATGATTTTAACATATATCCAAATTTAGTTTAATGGCTTTCTACCATAAACACGAAATTACTATTTTTTATAATTAATCAAAATTATTATAATAACATCTCACTATAATTACAAAAATATCTTTTCTATTATATTTGGTCAAAATTATTATAATATCCTTATGCTATACAAGAGAATGCACTTCATACTATAATTGGTTAAATTATTATAATATTTCTTATATCATAATTACATAAATATCTTTGTAAATGTTTTATAAGAAGTTGATCTATGATATTTTATTTCAAAATTACTATAATACATTTATTAAATTACATATTAAATTTTAACATATTATATAATTAATAATGAATTAAATTACTAAAATATCCTTGTCATTGCTTTAAAGAATTTGACAAGTAGCATTTTATTAAAAATAATCAAAACTAAATAATCAAGTAAGCAAATAATTATAATTTCTATTAAAATAAAAAAATTAAATAATTTATTTTTTAAAATAACGATTAATAGCACTAATAATTTCTATGCTTTGACCCAAATTTTACTTCGATCTCTAAACTTTAAAAAAATTTAATTGAATCGTAATTGTTTAAAATTATTTTATTTTAGTCATTCCGTCTATAAAATTGTCTAAATTTATGGCAAATGTCAACTGACACCGTATGATAACATTAGTTAATATCTTATATGGTAAATAAGATGTCAAAATAGAATTCTCTCAAAGTTTAAAAACTAAAGACAAAATTATCTCAAAATTTTATATATTTTGCACATATCTTATAGAAATATTAAATTTAAAATTATATTTGCTTTTTTTGTTGTAATACAACTTAATAGATAGAATTTTTGTTTTAAATAAAAATAGATATTCAAAACTTAAAATTAAATTAAAATTTTTGAATTCCTTTTGAAAAATTTAATACATTTAAAAAACAAAAAAATTTATTAAAATTATTATTTTACTCATAAATCATAATAAAACATATTATTTTCTATCAAAAAATTTTATTTTAAAATATTAAATATCTTTTATTTTTCCT